CTATATACCATTAATATATAGGCTAAGAAACAAATCAAGACAATAATACCATTCATAGTAGCCTCAAAAAAACCAAGCACCTAGGAATAAACTTAACTAAGGAGGTGAAAGACGTCTACAATGAAAAGCATAAAGCATGGAAGAAAGTAATGAAGATGCCGGAAGACGGAAAGACTTCTAATGTTCATGGATGTACAGGACTAACAATGTACAAACAGCTACGCTATGCAATCCCATTAACTCCAATGTCGTTCCTCACGAAGCTATAAAAGTTGTACGAAAACTTTACACGGAAGTATTAGAGTCCACAAATGGTGTAAACAACCCTGATCAAAAAGAGAAATGCCAGGAGTATTAGAGTACACAAAACAGCATGGTGCTGGACTGGAGTGTGGCTCAAGTGGTAAAGCACCTACTTTGCAAGGTCAAAGCCCTGAGTTCAAAACACACTCCCACCAAAAACAGACACACTCACCAACAGAATAGAACAGAAGACCCAGAAATAAACCCATACAGCTATAACCACCTCATTTTCTACAAAGTTCCCAAAAGCATATGTTGGAAATAAGACAGAATTGTCAACAAATGGTATTGGGTAAACTAGATATCCATATGTAAAACACTGAAACTGGAGCTCTATCTCCCACCCTGTATAAAAACCAATTCAAAATGGATCAAACCCCTTTATGTAAGATCTAAAACTTTGAAACTGCTAGAGGGAAATATAGGGTAAAGACTTGAAGATGAATAGGCATCCAAATAAAAGCATGAATTAATAAATGGTATTGATCAAATTTAAGAGGTTCTATATATCAGAATGCAAAGAAAACCCCAAGGATGGGGAAAAAATTACAAGTTATTTATTGGACAAAGAATTAATATACAGTATATATGAACAGCTCAAAAAATTAAACATCAAAAGAAAAAATACTTCACTTAATAAATGGGCAAGTTAATTGAACAGACAGTTCTCAAAAGTACAAATGGGCAATAAATAGATGAAGAAATGTTTAACATCTTTAGCCATAAAGAAAATGCAAATCAAAACAACATTGAGCTGGTGAAGTGGCTCAAGTGGTGGAGTGCCTGCTTAGCAAGTGTGAGGGCCCTGAGCTCAAAGCCTAGTGCCGCCAAAAAAAAAAATTTTGTAGAAATGATACACAGAGCCCAAAACAACAATGAGTCTCCATTTCATCCCAATCAGAATGGCTATCATGAAGAAAACAAACAACAAATGTTGGTGAGATTATGGGGGAAATGAACCCCTATACAGTGTTGGTGCGAATGTAAATTACTACAGCCACAATGGAAATCTGTTTGGAGGGTCCTCAAACAGGAATAGAACTATCACATGATCCTGCTATAGTGCTCTTGGGAAAACAGCCCAAGAAATATTTTTTTATCCATATTTGCATACAATGTTTGGGTCATTTCTCCCCCCTCCCCCCAATCCCCTCCGTTGCCCTCCAATCGCCCCCTCCCTCGCTCCCCCACCCCCTCAATACCTGACAGAAACTATTTTACCCTTATCTCTAATTTTGTTGAAGAGAGAGCATAACCAATAATAGGAAGGACCAAAGGTTTTTGCTAGTTGAGATAAGGATAGCTATACAGGGAGTTGACTCACATTGATTTCCTGTGCATGTGTGTTACCTTCTAGGTTAATTCTTCTTGATCTTTTCTCTAGTTCCTGGTCCCCTTCTTCTATTGGCCTCAGTCGCTTTTAAGGTATCTGCTTTAGTTTTCTCTGCGTTGAGGGCAACAAATGCTATCTAGTTTTTACAGGTGTCTTACCTATCCTCATATCTCCCTTGTGTGCTCTCGCTTTATCATGGGATCAAAGTCCAATCCCCTTGTTGTGTTTGCCCTTGATCTAATGTCCACATATGAGGGAAAACATATGATTTTTGGTCTTTTGGGCCAGGCTAACCTCACTCAGAATGATGTTTTCCAATTCCATCCACTTACCAGCGAATGATAACATTTCGTTCTTCTTCATAGCTGCATAAAATTCCATTGTGTATAGATACCACATTTTCTTAATCCATTCGTCAGTAGTGGGGCATCTTGGCTGTTTCCATAACTTCAGCCCAAGAAATTTAAATCAACAGACAACAGTGATCCCTGAACTACCATGTTTACAGCATCACTATTCACAATTGCCAATATATAGAATCAGCCTAGGTACCCAACAATTTATGAAAGGATAAAGAAAATGTGGCGATATACAATTGAGTATTATTCAGTGATAAAGAACAATAAAATTATGTCATTCACAGGTAAAGGGATGGAACTAGAGATCATCATGTTGAACAAGGTAAGTTATGCTCAGAAAGACAAATTTGCATGTTTTTCCTCATAGAAAATCTAGATCTAATAATAATAATATTATCACATGATTGCAAAAGGGGGGACTGTTTGTGTGGGTGGAACCAGCAGAAAAGGAGGGAGAGAAAGGAGAGGGTGATGGGAGCTGACTATGATCAAAGTGTGTGTGTGTGTGTGTGTGTGTGTGTGTGTGTGTGTGTGTGTGAAAATACCGTAATCAAGCCCACAAAAACTTACTAAAAAGGTGGGGGGTAAGAGGGAACAGGATGAAGAAAGAATAATATAGATGGGGTGAATGTGATCAAAGTACATTGTATGTATGTATACAAATATCACAATTAAACTGCTGTATACAATTGATTTATGTTAATAAAAGATTTTTTAAAATAGTACATACCATACAGCATCATTGATGTTGAAACCATAAACAGACAAAAAACACTATATGATTGTGGTGACTGGTAGCTAGCTCTGGTGGAAGACACTGACCAGGAGTGACTATGAGGGTGCCTTGGTTTGTGTGATGCTTATACAGGGCATATAAAAGTTCATTACGCTGAATGCTTAAGATTTGTGCATTTCACTGAATGTTTTTGTGACAAAGGTTAAATATATAAATGTAATGGAAAGTGAAATAGTTCTCAAAAAGTAGATGTTTGATCAACAATCTATTTCACATTCTATCATAATACACAATCACGAACCAGTCAAGAATACTAATTGGAAATGTGAATCATATGATCATTCTAAATTAAAAACATCATTCCTACTGTATGAAAATTAGAAAAAATGGGGAGAAATCTACCTTACATTTTCACAAAGATATCTGGGCTATCTTAATATCATATTGCTAAACTCTAAATTATAAAATTAGAACTTTGGCAGCTAGGAATTTACAGAAAATCTTTTTCTAACAATCTTAGTAAAAACTGAGATAATAAACTAAAGACATGACTCTCAGACATCAGCGTAAGTCATTCTCTTCGTGGGATTAAAAGATTTTGGGACAAAAAAAGTAGGACTATAAAGTTGCACTTTTTATAATTCAATTAAAATAATTTTACTATTTTTATATAAAGAAACTGAAATATTAGCATTATATTTTAAATAAACAAATACACTAAAATGCTCTGACACATTCCTATGAAGTAGAGTAATGAATTTAATAAAGAATAAGAATTAAGTTCTACATATTTGACCATGCCAATTATTTTTCACATTATATTATTTTGGAATGGTGAATTATTTAAATTTCACTACATAAGTTCTGGTTTAGTATCCAGAAGAGATTACTAGTACATTCTTGAAAGAATATTTAACTTAGAAAGTTAAATTTCCAACCATTAAATATTCATGAACATTCTAAAATAAAGTATAATTAGAAAATCAAGAAATAAAGGAAACAATTTAAAATATAACAATCATATCAATTTTAATTGCTATTTAGTAAGCTCTAAAGATGAACACTTTTCTCCTACAATTATAATTTGAATAAACCAAGTGAAATTTGATTAATATTTATGTATGAACCTTTAAAAATAAAATTATACATCCTCCATATTAAAAGACGTTTACGTGAAATATTTTTGGTATTTTTCTGACTAAACAAGCATCTAAGTCATCATTATACAATGTAGAAACAAATCTCTGAAATTAATTCCCACAACTAAGTTTACTGAGTAATAATTTGTATTTTTGGACAGTTAAGTAACTATCTTTATTAAGGTATTAAATCAACCTTGAAGATACTAAGAAATATTTTCCAATAAACATATGATTTTAAAAATAACTCACTCCTCTCACAAATGATATCACAGAAATTAACACAGATAAAACATGGAAACCTTTCTGATAACAGTACATATCTGTCATTTGTTATAGAAAGGGAAGGACTGATCTGTAAATTCTTAAAAGATTTTAAAACATAATGTACTAGAATAGGGGTTGGCACATATGAATTATTCAATAAACTAATGTGAATTCATCTAATCAATCATTATAAAGGAATAAATGAACAAATTCCAATATCACATAGGTATTTTACTGAATGTTTTATAAAAATATTAAAGATATATAAGTGTAAAGGAAAGTCAGGTATTCCTTGACTATTTCCAGATAGAACATTTTAAATGTTTCCTAGAGGCTTTAGTAGCCAACCATTAACCACAGTAAAAATGAAACATACAACATACACAGCATAGATTAATAAATCAATTATGAGTGAGTCTTCAGAAAGTAGCTATCATGATTACTAATCCTAAGTCTTTACTGACAGTTAAATTGTGTTCCATACATATAAAACCAAAAATAAGATGGCTAAAATAAAGCAAACAATTTCAAATTTAGTTGTAAGAGGGTATCTATTCTCAGTTACATTAAATGAATCAGAAACCCAAACATTCTCAATGTTACAAGTTTGCTGCATTTTTTGGAATATAAGGTTCATTGAAAATTTTTAGTACAGTCTTCAGTGAGTTCAATGCAATTTGTATAAGTATATTTATGGAGACAGTCATCATCACAGATAACTGGTTTTTTACAAAGGGTCAATACATGCTTCAGTATTGTTCAAGTCAATAAATGTATACATGCCATCACTTTGGACAAAAGTAGCATTCTTTAATAATGAAAATATTCAATGCTCATTAGAAGTAAATACTCTTAGCACTTACCTGTATCTTTATAGGCCAGGAAAAGTTGCTGACATACACATAGAATGTAATATTAGGGTTGCTTCTAAAGTTAAATTTTTCATAGGAAAAACTATCTCTGTATTCCTTTATATTAGTCTTGGAAACAATAGGAGTCTCTTCCCCAGATATTGTTCCACCTGAAATGTAAATAATAATAGCAAATTTAAATAATTCATATTAGGATATAGGGATCTTTATTAATTTTAAAACATGTAATACCTTCATTTTTATAATTGCTCTTATAAAAAATAATTATTACAATTCACTTATATTTGCAACTTTGAATGACAAAAAAAGAAAATAAGTTTGCCATAATTATAAGGGAAATAGGCTTAGTATAAAAATTACTTTAAAAAATGCTACCGCTGATGCCATGCTCTGCACTGAGCACTGGCTTCAAGACTTTATATTCTTTTCAAATAACAATTTCATTCACGGGTGTTATCATTTTTGTTTTTCAAACTGAATCTTGAACCTCGAGTTTATAGCTACTTTCAGCAAACTCCTCTTTGGAATTCAGGCATATATGGCTCCACATACTGACCTCTTGGTACTTACAACTCCACAGATTCCTTCAAAATAAATCATACCATATTTTCACATGTCTCAATTCAATTAAAAAAGTGAAAAGAAATCAATTTATTTGCCTTATCACAAATTGAAGAAACACTACTTTAAATACATTGGGAGGCCATAATTTAATACGTGAGCTAAATGCTCAATTAGCTAAACACATATTGGGCACTCAATAAATATTTACTTAACCAAATGAAGCAAAGCATTTCCAACTACCTTAGCAAGGCCTCCATCTTAATTAACAGTAAAAATAATCAGAATAAGTATACTGAGTAACTCAATTAATTTCCAATTGATATCCTATGCCCAAATTAGCTTGTATGCTTTCTTAAAATGTAGATTCCTAGGACACCATCTGCCAATATAAGTATTGAAAAATGAGCATAAAACGTTAGAATTCAACATAAAGATTTAAACTTTTTCATAGCTATAATCGTTAAAAAAGCCCTTTCAATGTATAACTTTATTATGGAAGACATATTTTGTATCGTTTTATTTTAGCTCCTCTTAGCACTGAAGCTAACAAGGAGTGTATTTCTAAGATTGAAAATAATAGATAAGTTGTTATTTTTATCAGTAGAATGTTATTGCTTCATATAAATATTAAGCCTAACAATTGAATTAATAGCTTCAATAGTGAATTAAATAACTGAAATCTCTTCAGTCACTAAAGAAGTAATCTATATTAATTAAAATCATCACAATTCATATTACCATTTTAAAATATTAGTTATATAAAATTTGTTAGCCATCTAATTTTAATTGAATAAAGGAGAAAGTTAACAAAGTAATGAACCTTTATTTATACTACCACTTGTAATTTTTATCAGTAACACTACAATAATTATGGAAAATAATTTTTAATTAATTATTTAAATAAACAGTAAAGCATGCTACTACAACTTCCATATAGGAACACATGTAAAACAGACATGACACCAAAAGTCTTTTACCTGTTGAACCCACTGACCATGTGATGTTGAGATTAAAGTTGTTTGATGCATTAATTGAAATATCCAAATTTTTGTTTGACTACCAAGAAAAAAAAATATTACAGTTAAGAAAAGTTGAAGTATACTAACTAGATATAATTTAGTCTACTGGTTTGATTCTGCCATGCTACACTTCCCTAATATGCTACTGAATAAATAAGGGTACCATTTATACTTTCAATGAAAAAAATTGTGATAAATTCAAAGGTAAAGTTCCTCATTTATCTTCTCTACTGTAATTTTCCTATTTCTTTAAAATGTGAATATAATGACTTAGCTCAAGAGTTCTTATGAGCACCAAATAGGATAATGGTTTTAGACCATTGTACTGATAATGATAATGTTATTAGTTAAGGGGACACAAGATCTTCATTATCTAGAGAACCTGGGGACTCAGAAAGAGGGCATGTTCACCAACCTCTGAGAAGTGGAAGAGTTTTCTTTTTATTGTTAATGAGGTGGTCCAAAGGTAATTGTTATTTTTATGAAAGCAAAACATAGCAGAAATAAGTTATACCTCTGAAAATGTAAAACTTAACTGAAGAGTTACAACTTCACAGTTTTTTATGTCTTATTTAGGGTGAAATAAATATAAGAGTAACTTTTTTTTGAAGTTCACACAAAATTTCCAATTGACATAAAAAACTATAAAACTGTCCTGAATGTAGTTTATCCTTTAACAATTTTAGGTTTCAGTATTATTGAAATATGGTACCATAACTAAAGCTCTATAAAAACCACTTAGGGTTAAAATTAAAGATGTGATACTGTATCCCAGAAAATGATAAAATCAGTCATTTAGAACAGTGGTGTATGTAGTGAATGAGTTCAGCAAAATCATGTTACACAGAAACCTATTCCAGAAATTAATCACATGAAAACACTGACTAGACATGATCTGTAGTGGGTGAGAAGTTAAATCTGATGTCAAAATGTAGGAAATATATAAATAATCAAGGTGTTTATTTTATTATTATTTTTATTGGATAAGTTGGAAGCCTTGATCAATAATTCATATTAAGTTTAGAGATTTTTTTCCACAGGTGAATATATATCTTAACTGAAGGGTATTACACAAAATGATGGCATAAAGCATTCTTGTTGACATGACTCATGATACTTTAGCATCAGAACATGTGTCTATGCTCTTGAATTCAATTGGAAATGACAGAAAAAAGCAATACTGAATGAATGCTGGGACATCCGAAATCACGAGATTTCTGGACACTGAAGGAGAAATATAATGGCAAAGAGAAAAGCAAACTAGAATTAGAGCTAACCTGGACATATGTGTATGACAATATCGACAGTGAACATAATATTCCATCCAAGGAAGAAATACTACTCACAAATTTCAAGTAAGATATTACAGCTACATTCTTAGATCCTCAAAAAAAAAAAAACCCTACATATTTGGAATATTTATTAACAATCAAGAAGCCAATGCTAAAGAATGAAATTCTGATAAACAGTGAAACATATGTGAACCTCGAAAACATTATGCTAAGTAAAATAAGCCAAACACAAGAGGTCAAAAATTATACGATTACAGTTATAAAAGGTACCTAACAAAAATAATGCATAGAGGCAGAAAGCAAAATAATGGTACCAGGAACTGGAGGTGGGGGGTTAGGAAAAATGTGAAGTTATTACTTAAAGATATAGAGTTTCCTACGTTATGACGAATAAGTTTCAGAAATGGATAGTATGTACTTAATGGATAGAAATGTACTGAATGCTACTGAATTGCACATCTATAAAAGTGACGAAAATGGTAAATCTTACTTCATGTATTACCACAATTAAAAAGTCAATGGTGACTATAATATACTTATAAATATTGTCTTATAACTGACAAATACAGTTGCTGACAATATTTATATATCTATATAGGAACAGAGATAATCACTAAAAAGAGGATTATTTTTGAAAGAAAATATCTTTAAGATCCTTATTTAAAAGTCAAAACTTTAAATGTATTCCCAAGAACATAGTCATTCCTTAAAATCTAGGGAATAAGGAATAATATAGAATAAGCTTTTCTACGGAAAGTCAGAATCAGATTTAACTAGAAAAAGAAAATTTAACAAATTACATTATTTGTCAGCAAATCTAATGAATTATTTTAAAAGAAGCTAGAATTTTTCAGGATATATTTAGACATTTCACCTATTTGAAAAAACTAAAATATGACATGGCTTTAATAACATGGATAATTTTATAATAACAATTCATGTATTTAATATAGCATCTTTAATGTGAATGAGTTGCTTTTAGTTTCAAAAAACTAAAACTCAACTAAAATAAACTATATGGTTGGTATTTCCTTTCCCTAAACTTATTAACTTTATGAAGTCTTAGAGAGACAATAATATGTGTGTTGTTTTTAGACATCCTTATAGACTTTTTTTGAACTACTGTGTTGATGTTAACATTTGCACATTTCATACATTGAAATTTCATAAGCCTGTAAAATTAGATAAGTGATGAAGCCAGTATCTTTGTAACTCATAATACACTGGATTTAGAAAAGAGGCAATAAAAATCAGCTACTATGGAATCATATCAAAAACATTTAATATAGCATATTATTTTGCATTTATGAGTTTTATTTGCAAATAAAACTACTCTGGGTTTGCATGTATATTTCTGAGAGTAAATTTTATTATATAGAAATATATATAATTAATATGTAATTTAAATTAAAGGACTATTAGCAAAATATGAAGTATCGACTTCACAAATTCTCCTATCACAAGGACACCTAAGTTTTATGATAAGAAAATTAACAGTATTAATCTTCTCTATAAAAGCCCTACAGTGTGTTGTGATGATTCTGAGGAGTGAAATCACAGTGAAAGATGACAGAGAAGTTAGATCCCTTGACAGCAGTACAATGACATTACAGAAGATGTTCCCTTACCTGCTCTGGGTTTGCTATGAAGTTTATGGCAGTATGGTGGCGATCATCTTCCTGTAATAAGCTGAAGGTAAACTGATAGTCAATCAAAAGGCTGTCTGTAAGGAGAGAGAGCAGAATCTTGATATATACATTAAAAACACTTTTTGAAAAACAAAGGTAAGGTGAAAATATATTGCACATTTGCATTTCAAATTATTATCATTAAATACTAGTGGCTTATTCAAGACTAGTGACAGAACTCTTTGTCATCAAGCAACAGGAAGCAAAATAGGTGTAGTAGAAGTCCTTATTCCTTAAAATTGTATTTATTATTCTTTTTGTTATTATTAAAGTATTACATAAACACTGTAGATAACTCTGGAAACTGCATGACAGTAAGAAAAGAAAATAAAAGTCATCTATAATCTTATGACTGGAGAGAAATGGACTTAATATGTTGGTGCATTATATTCTCCTTAAGTAGACCTTTAGGTATCCGGCTTTCATAAAATCAAAGTTCATTAGAAATATAAACTTTAATAGCTAAATAATAGTTCATCTATAGCAACATAATTTTTTTGTTTTTTACTGTGATCATTTTTACTTTAAACAATTTATAAAACATTTGTGATGAATTCCATTTTACAGATGTGACCTTCAGCAAATTGATAAAAAGGAATTCAGGGAAAACCAATTTTAATCTTTTTCATATATAATGCCAAAAACAAGATGAAACATTTAAATTTTATAGGTCATGGGTGGCTTCACATGTTACACAGGGCAAAGTATTGGTCATACTGTCAGCATTGCAAAAAATATTTCAAGTAATTTTAAATAATAGAGATGAGATAGCCTTTGTATATATCTTCATGTTGTACCCTCAGCCATTAAGAACCATTACTAAAAAAAGTAAAGAAGGTTTACTATAACTGGATGTATTGTGAAAACAATCAAGTCATTATTACTCATGTTTCTTACTCATATACTACCAGATGTATTTCTAGTATAATTTAGTATAAAGCAACATTTTATCTTCTTAAGAATTTATAGGCACCTTTACATCTGACAATAAGAATTATGTAACACAATATATTTCCAATTATCACTTGACTTCCAAAAGATACAGAGGAAAAACTCAATGAACAAGTGTTGTAGGCACTGGACATACAACAATAAAGGATAAAAATTTCTATTTTTATACAACTGTTATTTTATCAAATGGACATCAGAAATAATAATATAAGTATATAATATATCAGATGACTTTAAATCTCTTGAATAATAATAGAGCAACAAAGGAGAGAAATTGTTGTCAGGGTAGAAATGCATTTTCAGTTTTGAAAAGGAATATTTAAAGATCAAAGATACCAAAAGAATAAGCTATGGGGTTTACTACAGAAAATGTATTCCAATCATAAAAAATACATACAAAATCTCAAATCAAGAACAAGTCTTTGCTGTGATTCCCATAGAGGCTATGGCAATAATACAAGCAAGAGGTAATGGGTCAAGGTAAGTGGAGGACAGGAGGAGTAGTCAGATACAGGAGATGAATTTGGAAAGTACAAGAAACAAGATAAGCTAAACAAATGGGTACAGTCTTTGAAAGAAGGAAAGGCAAAACTTTTTTCATTTATTTTTTACCTAGCAGTAAGCAAAAGTAACAATTAAGAAAGAATAGGTTTTACTGTGGTGGGAACTGAGGGAATAATTAAGAGTTCAGATTTAAAAATATTAAATTTAAGATACTTATTAAATATCGATAATGTATTTGAGTCACGTTCAAGAGCAAACTAGCAGATAACAATTTGCAAATCATCAGCATTTAAATGGTATTTTAAAGGCAAGAGATTACCTTTATAAACAGGTAAGTGACCAAAAATTTGCCCTGGGGAATACCAATATTAAATAATTAGATCCTGAGGGGGAAAAACAGAAAGGGACTGAGAATGGGTGATTTACAAAATATAAAGAAACCCAAAATAATTTAGTATTATGGAAACCAAGAAAAGGCAATGTTTAAAAATGAGAATACTGAGCCAGGCATGGTGGCATATATCTGTAATCCTAACACCCAAGAAGCAGAGGCAGGAGGATACCAAGTTCAAGGTCAGCCAGGACTACATAGCACAGTGAGTTCCAAGACAGCCAAGGCTACACTGGAAGACCCTGATTTAAAAAAAAAACAAAAACAAAAAACAGAGATAAGTGATGATCACCTTGGTCAAAGGACAGGTTCAAAAGAAGTAGTCCTTTGTAGGACTTTTGTCAAGATTGTTCTTGACAAAAGATAATATTTATTCAGAATGAGAGGAGAGTATCAGACAAAGGAAAAACAAGCATTTCAAACCTATTTTCAAGAATTTGTCTGCATAATTATCCTTATTTTTTTCAACAGTGGAAATAAACATTAAGAAGTGGGTGTTTTGAGGAGGTAGAGAATAACTAACTGAGGACCCCTGCAGAGCCCTGAGCAGGGGCTGTATTTGCCCCAGGCCCAGGAACACTATCCCTAGAACTCCAGCCTACATTACAAACATGTCACATAAAATGCTTGGCCAAGAATTCAAGTACAATTTTGCTCTTCTTATTTATTCTTATTTATTAGAGTTCAAAGAACTAGATCAATACAATGTATCTTACATATGGTAACAATCAATCCTAACATCAGGTAGGCTAAAAAATATGCCCAGAGCATAGATCAAAGCTAGTGTAAGTATTTTTCATTTTAAGAGATTAATAAGGATATCATTTGATGAATATGATTACTATAAATTGAAGAAAGTTTAGACTTCACAAAAGATTTCCTTTCAAACTGCTTCAAAATAAGTCTTTCAAAAGCCAAATGCACAATTTTTCACTTAACCAGAAATTGAAATATTTGTCCCTAGATTTTCAGATATCATGTTGGGGCCTGGTGCCTGTAGCTCATGGCTGTATTCCTAGATTACTTGGGAGAAGGAGATTGAGAAGATTGTGGTTCAAATACAGCACTATTAAACACTTAGTGAGACCCCCCCCCCGCCATATCTCAACAGAAAAAGTTGGGTGTGGTGGTACACCACCTATCTTCCCAGCTATGACAGGAAGCATAAATAGAAGGATCAAGAACCAGGACCACCCAGCATAAAGTGATATTCTGTCTCAAAAAGCAACCAGAGCAAAAAGGACTGGAAGCATGGTTCAAGCAGTAGAATACTTGCCTAGTAAGCACAAAGCCCTGAGTTCAAACCCTTGTACCACCACAAAAAGAAATCATGTCTGTGTATTTTAGGAGGATTATGAATGAATAATTATCTGGCACTTGAAATATGTAAGTTAATGCTAAAATTTACTCTGAATTTCTCAACTAAGTAAGAGTATATGATATAAAAACTGAAATTTAAAATGTCTCCCTGGAAGTGAGGAAGGGTGAGGGGGGGGAAGGGAGGGGGCGGGGGATGGGGGAGAAATGGCCCAAACAATGTATGCACATGTGAATAAATTAATAAAAAATTTAAAATAAATAAATAAATGTCTTAAGCTTACGCAAATACACAAAAGTTGAAAGTAAGTATTTATGCTACATTAATGAGCCACTCTGTTATGGTATCAAGAAAAGAAGTTATGATTGGCTATAAATCAATTCAAATAATAGAACTATACTGAGAAATTACAAAGTAGCAGTAGGCCTAAGGATGATCAAGAAGGTAAAAGAGCTTTGTTTCTAGATCTGGGGAAATAGCATGTTTTATGCTAATTGAAAAGTATTTACTAGGAATGGGAAAACTGATAAAACAGAAGAAAAGGATCAATATGGATAGGCCTAAAAGACATTATACTAAGTGAAATAAACCAGTCATAGAAAAACATACACTACATTATCACATTTTTATGGGGAACCAAAACAATCAAAACCACAGCTGTACAAAGTAGAAGAGGTATGGGGGCGACTGCAAGAAAGAGCAAACAGGAAGATGATGGCCAAAGGGTACAAAGTTACAGTTATGCAAGCTGTTAAGTTCTTGTTATCTACTATATAACATAATACCAACTGTTAAGAATTAACTTATAACTTATAACTTGTAAGTTAATAAGTTATAATACTTATAACATAAGTATTTTTAAGTATTATATAATTAAAAATTTGCTAAAAAGGTAGGTTAGATGTTAACTCTTAAGATAAAATAAATTAATTAACAAATAAGCCAGGAGGAAACGTTGGGAGATGTGTGCAGCCTTGATTGAGATGATGGCTTCATGAATGTATCTTTATTTGTAAATACATCAAGTTTTTATATGTGTATTATGTACAGTTTTTGTATGTTGGTCATACATCAATAAAGTGGTTTAAAAAATCAGTAGTAAAAGATAGCCTATGCAATAAATTGTATAGGAACATGCAGTTAATCAAAAGGAAAACTAAAATGTATACCACACCAAACATAAGAATCAATTCCAGTTAAAGATTTAAATATTAAAAGCAAACTCTAGCATCTTTTATCATCTGAAAACATGACTTGTTGGTTCTCTGAAAAGATAAACAAGATTAATAAACACTTTCCCAAACTATACAAACCAAAGAGGCCAAAGACCCAAATTAATGAAATTAGAGATCAGAAAGGGCATACGATAAAAAGTAACAATGAAATTCAGAGAATCATTAAGGAGTATCTCAAAAACTTTTTAATAAACTGGAAAATGGAGAAGAAATTGCTAGATATATATGAACTTCCAAAACTGAACCAGAAGGCTATAAACCACCTAAACATAGCTATAACAAGCAATGAAATTGAAGCTGTATTAGTATTCCAACAAACAAAAGCCCAGACTTGAAAGATTCATTGTTGTATTCTATCAAACCTGTAAAGAACTAACACAATGCTGCTCAAACTATTTCATAAAATACAAAGGAGAGAAATGTTCCAAAACCAAGACTGCACAAGAAAACAACAAAAGAAAATTTACATGCCAACTTCATTTATGAAATCAGAAGCAAAAATTCACAATAACATAATGACCAACCACATTCAAATAAAAAGATCAAATAGCATGATCAAATTGGTGTCAATCCAGGATGCAAGAATGGTTCAGTGTAAACAAATCAATAAATTTAGTGCAATAAATGAACAGAATAAAGGATAAAAATCACATGATTATCTCAATAGATGCAGGGAAGCTTTTGGCAAAATTGACATTTCTTCATGCTGAAATCCCTCAACACACTAGGAATACAAGGAACATACCTCAACATTATAAAAGTAATAATGATAAACCTCATACTAAACAGGGAAAAACTGATACTCTTTCCTCTAAAATCAGGAATGAAATAAGAGTGTGTACTCACTGCACTCTTACTCAATATAATGGTTGAATTTTTAGAGCAAGAAGGCAAAAGAAGAAATGAAAGGGATACAAATAGAAAGGAAGAAGTCTAATTTTTCCTATTTATAGATGATATGATCCTATACATAAAATACTCAAAGTAAATCACCATAAAACTCTTAGCTATGATAAATACTTTTGACAAAGTAGTAGGATACAAAATCAATATACAAAACTCAGTAGTTGTTCTATATACCAATAACAAACAGACAAAGAGCAATCACAGAATCAGTCCCATCTCCAATAGTCTCACAAAACAAACTGGAATAAACCTAACCAAAGAGGTGAAAGACCTATACAATGAAAGCTATGAAATGTTGAAGAAAAAAATTTAAGAAGACAAAAGAAGATGGAAAGACCCTATTCATGGATCTGTAGAATTAATATTGTGAGGATGGCTATAATACATAAAGCAATCTCAGATTCAATGCAATCTCCATCAAAATTCCAATGTCATTCTTTACAGAAATAGAAAAGTCAATCCTAAAATTGATATAGAAGCACAAAGTCCTAAATAGCAAAAG